GGAGGAGGAGGTTCCTGCGTTTCTATTGGTGGAGAGGTGAGACCCTTCACTATGTCACCGAAGCGCTCTGCGAACGCCCGCACGTTGCTCTGGTTCTCCACTTTCTTGTCTCCTTCACTCTTAGCGGCGTTCCCTTCCCGTGGCGTCGCGTCCTGAGATGAATCCTCAGCCTTTTCTTTTGCATCTCGCTCTTTGTCCTCGGCCAGCTCGTCTTCGTCCTCGTCTTCCTCCGAGGGTTTTTTGTTCTGCGAGTAGAGCATGTCCAGCATGAAGAGTTTGCTGTTGAGGATCTTGTTTCGTTGTTCGTTGCTGACGCTCTGAGCTGACCACTGACCTGCAGCAAACACACAGAAAGAAGGACCTCACATACACTAGTTACTAGTTTACCAATGGTTAGGCCCCCTGATTTGTTAAATATGTATATATATATATATACATACATACATACATACATACATACAGATATATATATATATGTATATATGTGTGTATATATGTGTGTGTGTATATATATATATATATATATATATATATATATATATATATATATATATATATATACCTGTGATGGTAAAACTGAATTTTCAGCAGCCACTACTCCAGTATTCAGTGTCACATGATCCTTCAGAAATCAGTTATTGCTCAAGGAACATTTCTTATCAATGTTGAAAACAGTTTTTGCTTATTTTTTTATTTTTGTGGAAACCATGGTACGCCATTGTTGAATAGTTTTGGGAAAAGTAATAATAATACAAAAAGAAAATAGTTTATTTATCAAAGATCCACATCTAGTTTATTATTACATTGATCCAAAAGTAAGAGTAAAAAATATTTAATGTCACAATAGATTTCCATTTCATATAAATGCTGTTCTTTTGAACTTTGTATTCAAAGAATGTATCATGGTGTCCACATAAATATTAAGCAGAAAAAACTTTTTCCAACAGAACCAAATAACCATTATTAATAGTTCGGCACCAATAAAAACTAAGCAGCAAATGAGAATATTACAATGATTTTTTTAAAGATCATGTGACATTGAAAACTGGAGTAATGGCTGCTGAAAATTTAGCTTTGCCATCACAGGATTTTACATTTTAAAACATATTAAACAGAAAATGTCAAAATGTTAAATTGTAGTAATATTTCACAATTTTACTATTTTTTTTATCAAATAAATGCAGCCTTGGTGAGACAAAGACTTAAAAAAACATTACAAATGCGAGTCATTTCAAACTTTTGACTGCCAATTTTTTTTTTTTATTATTGTTATTATTATAATATTTGTTTAGCTTCATAATAATAAAATAATATTATGTAACCAGTATGGATATATATCTGTATATATACACAGTATGTCTGTCAGAAGATAAGTTTCTCAACAAAATAAAAAGATCACTGAGAACCCACCTTCCACCAAAGACGATTACGGGACATTTCTGAGCTCCCAGTTCCTTCTTCAGCTCTGTGATCACGACCGCATAGTCAGCCAGGGCCTGCTCCACCGTCAACAGCCCCACCTCAGGGATATTAAATGAATCCTTCCCAAATGGAAGAGATTTTCCATAGTACCTCTAGAGTTTAAAGCAAAGCTTAAGATTAGTGGACAGTTATAGACTGTATGACTGCATAAACCTGACATCAAAGACTGAGTGAACTGTCCCAACTTGTCTAACTTCCTCCATGATCATATGATTCAACAGTTACATGAAAATCTTACATGCTCAGCAAATATCACCAGGGCTCCCTGCACTGCTGCCAGCTCTGTGATGAACCCTGTATTCCGTGCAAACTCCCATATGTCCCCTTCATTGCCAGTGTAGAAGAAAATAGGTCCATTGCCTTTCTTCCAGTACTGATCTACAATAAACACACAATGCACTCACTCAGTATGGATATGATTTAAAAAGATAATAAAAGTTCTAACAGATGACAGTGTGGTAGATTATCACCTGTAATAAGGTAGCGCTGATCATATGTGCCATTGCCAAGGCTGTTGTAATTGAAGTGGTCTAAAATTTGTTTAAAATACTTTTCCTTGAAATCAGGAGCAAGGTCTCTGTGAGATGGGATGACCTCATTATTGAGCTTTTCCTTCTAAAAAATAAAACGTCCCAAAGAGGAAAATTCAAAAACATTCCAAAGAGGACAAAAGAACAATTTGAAATACGAACAGAGAGATAGATTAGTAAGAAAACAACTGAAACACTTCGTTAGCAATAAAATGTCATAAATCAACAGGCAAATATAGGAAAACTGAAGAACAGAACTTGCCACAGATAAACGTGTCTCAGTTTTTCCACCGAAGATCAGCAACATGAATCCGAGGGAAAGCCTATGTGCAGCCATTCTCACAGAGACCCCATACATCAAGCCTGAAATCTAGCAAACTTTCATGAAATCATCACAGAGCTATTGACAGTCATGTGATTATGTCAGCTGTCATGTGACCTGTGTCATTGTTTACGAGTCGTCTATAAACGTTACAGACGAGCGCTTATCTCTGTTGGGTCAAGAGTACGGTGCGTGATTTACACCGTTATTATGTTAAAGGTTGTCTAAAGCAATGAACATAGCAGCTTCGCAGTTTAACAATAATTTACCCAATAGTTTCAGAATAAAAGTCAAGGAACCATTTCAAAGTAAAAGTCTTAATGACTTGAAATTTGACTGTTATTATTTATTCATTTATTTATTTATTTAATTTTATTTTATTTTGTTTTTTTATTTTTATTTATTTATTTATTTATTTATTTATTTATTTATTTATTTATTTATTTATTTATTTATTTATTTATTTATTTATTTATTTATTTATTTATTTATTTATTTATTTATTTATTTATTTATTTATTATTGTTATTATTAAATAATACTAATAACTTAAAGGTTTCCTTGTAATTTCTACGATGTACCACTGGAAAAAGTTGGGCTTAGACAGAAAACATCTTCACTTTTTTTCAAAAGACCTCAAGGAAAAACAAATCTAAATCTTTGTTTTCCAAGAAAATACCAAAATTATTTTCACTGTCGTAGTGGGAGCTCAACCTCCCTGGACTGTAACCAGCTCTCTCTCCAAAAAGGCTGCACTAATTCTTCACAATGCGAAAAAATATGATCTAAATTTGATATCTGTTATGAGCATGAGAAGTGGAAACTGCAAACGTGATCCATAATAGACATCAGAGTTGTTCAATAATGACCAGTGACAATTTGTGAAGTTTACATCGTTACTTACCAGAAGGTGGCGACAAGTGTCTTTTGTTTTGTGTGTTATTGGTTATTATGAGCGAGTCTTTGGATCATTCACATTGTCAGCATTAATTTTTTAATAATTTTTTTTAAAGTTTCATTCACAGACCCCGATTCTTTCACGAAGGAAACACCACTACTACCAGCTTGCCCTGTTTTTACCCAGAGGGCTAGACATTGTTAGGCAGCTAACTCTCAGCTTACTTGTAAGGAGTCAATGGCCAATAAACGAGAATGAGAAGGAGAACACGGCTTCGAAACGAAATGTAGTACTGTACATGAATACATAAAAACATTTTACATTTTACATAATACATAAAAATGTATTTTTAGATATACAAGTAATGTACATTTAAAAAAAATTAATTGTCTTCTGGGTTTTAGACTACAAACCATAGATGTTTGCAGAGGTGTAAAGTATTGGAGTAAATGTAATTAGTTACTGTACTTGAGTATCTTTTCGGGTACTTTGTAGTTGTACTGAGTATCAAAGATATTAGCAACTTTTACTCTCTACTTCACTACATGTTACTTACCATTATTTTATTTATCCATTATACTGAAGAGACCTTTTTGAAAGATATTGGTTTTTTTGTGTGTTTTTTTTTTGTTTTGTAATTTTGAGGTTAAGTTGTTTTGGAATTGGTGACTTGTAACGTGTAGTGGAGTAATTTTCACTGTAAGGTATCTGTACTTATACTCAAGTATGGTTTTTAGGTACTCTTTACACCTCTGGATGTTTGTAGCTTTTTTTATTTATAAATACCGTAGAGCGGAGGAGCCCTTGATGGATTGTTTACCAAACATCTGTAGCGCCATCTGCTGTACATATAGATAACTTTGAAGGTTGAATTAGAGTAGATTTGCACTCCTGGATATTGCACTTGTATCTCGGTTTATTATGGTGTTCACATATATCTTAATATATCTACATGTGGACAAATGTGCTACAAATGTGTCAAAACAGAACAATGTATCTCCATTTCCTTTTTTTGTTTGTTTGTTTTTAAGATACTGTGAAATTAAATTGAATTATAACCTTATTTGTGAGAAATCTAAAGCTGTAAACTTGCTATGTAAAAATAGACATATAGCAATGCTGGGATTTCCTCCCTCCAGTTTTTTTCTTTACTGTTTCCCTATTAAAATAAAAGTCAGGTGATGACTAAGTGCTTCCTGGTAGTATAACTCTTGGCCAGACAACCTTTATAGTTTCTGTCCTTAGTGTGCTGTATATGTTATTGTGTAAGTGTGCACGTTGTCTTTCTTCAATTTCCTTATGCAACACCTTTTTGTTTAATTGAGCCATTGTGTACGTGCCCTACCTGCTGCTCTACAAGTCTCTGTCTCTCTCTCCTGGGAATGTGGGACTTCCTGAAGGCATGGCAAGTGGGAGGAACCACAGCTGTGTGTCACACTACAAAAATCACTTCCCTGTGAGTTCACTAAGAACTCTGGCTTACACCTGTTCAGGAGCCACGCTCATATTCATGATTGATCACTTCTAGAAAGCAGTTCAAGTTCCTGACTTATCTCTGTCAGTTTCTGAGTAGTGGTAAGTGTCGGTCATTGTACTACTGTAGTATTAGATTTTGCTTTTATGGTTTTATTTTCTTACAAGATCTGTATTTGCGGGCAGCTGTCACATTCACTCTTTTTGTTCTTAGTGTTATTAGAGACCAAAATATGGTGTTTTCTCAGTACATCTTGGTATATAGTGATTCTAAAATATCAGTTGATTATTTTTTATTTTGTTCTAGAGGGCCATGCTGTACATAGAGTTGATCAAGCTGTGGGATGAGGCCGTGAGAGCAATAGACAGCCGGGACTGGCAGGGTGCTCTCACTAAACTCAACCAGATCACAGAACACAACTGTCGTACTATGTTTGTGGTTGCTTCGACACACATTGCCCTGGGTCAGGTGGACTCGGCCATCAAGGTACAATCATACATTTTGCAATTACATGTGTAAGACATGGTAGAAATGTAGGATATCTGTAGCAATAATTCAATACAGTTATCATTGTCTTTGGTTGTTAAATTATTTTTGAGAGCTATGGTTCAGTTTTAGGGTTTTTGAGGCTTTTAGATGCCACAGATGCCACAAAATATGATCATCCTAGTGCCATCCTAAAATTTAAAAGGCAGCTGTGTGTTTGAATGTATGAAGTCCTAATTTGCACTGTGAAAATGATTATTATAAATGTATAGAATATCATTTGGAAAATATTTAGTTTTTGTTATTACACTATTACTTTTTTCTACTTACAATAGTATTCTAACTCTAATGTTGTCATATCAGTTTATCTTAATACTTTTTATTTTAATCAAATGTATTTATTATTTCGTTTCCAGATTTAGAAATCAGACTTATGTTTCTTTTTTAAAAGTTGTTGAGGAGGTTAATTAAATATCTTGATTTTTTTCAAATGTATTTTAGATTTTTTTATGCTATATTTGCATTTTCCCCACAAATTATTTTAAATAAATTTTATTTATTTTTTTATGTTTTTTACACTGTCCCCCCCCCTTGCTACCCTTTGCTTAGTTAATAATTTAGTCAGAATCTGGAAATATAAACTGTAATTGTTATGTATTTGTTAGATAAAATTGAGATGTCTTTTGAGATGTCTTTGACGATGTCAAATGATGCCTTTTAGGCTCTCGACCAGGTAATCGCAAAGGATTCATGTCTTGCTGTGGGATTTTTTCAGAGGTCTGCCGTTCATATGATGGCAAATAGGTGAGGATACTGTAGCTCTCTATGAATGAGCAGACTAGTCTGTCTAGTACGCTACAGCGTGACGCAACACAAACATCTTAAACATTGACCTTTTTTGTTTAAAGTTGATGTTCTGGACAGCTGATTCACTTTGATCTGACACTGCCTCTTTGTTCTCTTGCTCTCTCCCTGTCTCATTCTCTTTCCCTTTCTGTCTGTGTCACTTTTTTCCTAACACCAGGCTGGAAGAGGCATTGGCTGATTGTATATGGGCTCAGAAATTCATGAGGGAAAACCCTGTTATTGACTACAAACAGCTGGGTCTTCGCTATAAAATGTACAGCTGGCAGGTCAGAACATAAGCATATTTTTCTCTATATGTGCAAAAAAAGTTAAAACAAAACCATATATAAAAGTATGATTGTTTGAATTTATTGCACTTTTTTTTTGTTAACATTTTATTGAGAGGTGGGAAATTGTTGACAATTTCTCTGTAGCCATTAAACATGAACGTTGGTGGAGTTCACCTGCTCGGATATCCATCACAAGGCCTCTTTGAGGGCTGAGTGAAAAAGCTCCATGGTTATGTAATGTCAAATGCCAGCGTGAAAGACGATAAGACATGTCCAGCATTCCTCAGTTGTCAGGTTAGCCTGAAAAGATGAAACAACCTTTCTATTCCTCAAATGCCTGTTAGCTGAAAAATAGAAACCTTTGCTTTGTAAAAGTTTCACAGAGCCAAAGAGCTAAATTTGCACCACTAGTCCATTGTTAGACCTGAGGAATATGTACTATAGGTATGGTTTATGTGATTTCCTGGTAGAGTAATTGAGTAATTGAGATGATGGAATGGAGGGTCCTGTTCAAGGAAATGAATTACTTTACAGTTTCCCAAGAGCGCGGTAAAAAATATAATGTTACTTTAGGTGTATATATATATATGTGTGTGTGTGTGTGTATATATATATATATATATATATATATATACACACACACACACAAGGCTGCATTAATTTGATAAAATATACGGTGAAATCAGTAATATTGTGAAATGCTATTACAATTTAAAATTTAAAATAACTGGTTAGTGTTCCATGATCCTTCAGAAATCATTCTAATATGCTGATTTGCTGCTCAAGAAACATTAAGTATTATCACAGTTAAAAACAGTTGTGATGCTTAATATTTTGGTGGACACCAAAAACCAGAACATTTTAAAGGATTTTTCAATGAACAGAGTAAAATAAAAATATTTTATAACATTATAAATGTATTTACTGTCTCTTTTGATAGATTTTATGCATCCTTGCTGAATAAAAGTACAAATTTATGTCAGAAAAATAATAATAAAATTGACCCCAACAATAGTGTATAATCTTTTATTGTCCTATTGATATGATGTAATGAACAGTGTGTACAACTTGTGTGGGTTTTTTTCACTCATAGGTCCTTTATAATGCAGCAGCCGTCCACTCTAGACTGCAGCAATGGGACAAAGCCAGGGAAATTTTGACAGCGGCCTCACAGGAGAGAGGAGCGGGCCGGAGCAACTTGCTAGACATAGCTCTAGAGGCTATTTCTGTAAGACCTATGTGATCATT